TCTGCAAACTGAGCATCACGGTATGCCTGTGGTGAGCGTCAGTATAATATATAACATCTTGTTAAGTCCATCGCGAACGTTGACATTTAATATGTTAGGTCTACCGTCGGTATAAAATACTCTGCTACTACTGCATGCAGAATAATGTTACAGGTGCTTTAGGTGGTGTGCTGCAATACAGACTGCAACCTGAGCAATATAACATCTGCAGTAAGCATGTTCATTTAGGTATGGGTGCACGTGTGCAATCATCCTAGGATAGCCCCCCAAAAAATGCAGAGTGACCTATTGAGGTCCTAACCCATCTAGGTACAGTGGTACAAGCAACATGGTGATTGCAACTAGTTTAGTGGTTTACTGATTCAGGTTGGTAGTAATATAATGATAATCAAAATAATAATTATATTAGTGGATGATAGTTTATAATTATGATAGGAATGTTATTAAAATTAAGAATTCCCTAGTTGTTATAAGAAAGAAAATCCTGAATAGGATTATTCACACATGCATATTAACTGACACTGAGAGTATTTCCTGAATATTCTGGAATGTTCTGTGACACCAGTTGACCAAACGAGGGATTTATTCCCTTTATTTCATTAGTTAGAAGGTTGTAAATGAAGGTATGTAAATAATCATCTATTATAGCGTAACTCTTTACATCACATTACCTGTTCCCAGGAGTTACAAACTTAGGGATGGCTATTAATCATCCTCTGTTCTCAACTTTCTATACAAGATTTTTAGTTTAAATATATCAGAGGAATATAATGTCAATACTATCGCGAAAAAAAAACATATAAACAGTACCTGGATATCTTTATTACCAATAATTTCTCACATTAGAAATTTCATCAATTTACTACAAAGATTTGAGAAAGGAAACTTATACAGTCGACCCTCAACTAACGGCGACATTAAGTAACGGCAATTTCGTCTAACGGCACTTTTTGCCGTAGAAAAATGCCTTAACCAACGGCGAGAAACTTAACCAACGACGTTTGTCCAGAACGTGTCAATGTGCCCGGAGCGCAGCCTGAGCAGGCCCAGCCACTCCAAGAGTCAGTATGCCATTGTTTACAAGCTGTTGCAGTCAGTTTCCACATGTGCCTCCCATATATTTTAGATTATTCCTCTTTTTCTAGTGTTTGTAACTGCTAAATAAGCCACCATGGGTCCCAAGAAAGCTTCTAGTGCCGAGCCTGTGTTAAAAAGGGTGAGAAATACAATGGAAATGAATGAGATCATTAAAAAATACGAGAATGGAGTGCGTATGGCTGAGTTGGAAACGCAATACAACAAGTCACATTCAACCATCAGTACTATCTTGGCGAACAGACAGGCAATCAAGGAAGCTGTAGTTGCGAAAGATTCAAGTATGTTTTCAAAATGGAGACCAGAAATATTTGAAGAGGTAGAGAGACTGTTATGGGTATGGATAAACGAAAAACAGTTATCAGGTGATAGTGTTTTTCGGTCTATAATTTGTGAAAAGGCAAGGAAGTTGCATGATGATCTCATTAAGAAATGCCTCAAAATAGTGCTGCTGCTAATGAATTTAAGGCCAGCAAAGGCTGGTTTGAGAGATTTAAGATTCGTAGTGGCATACACAGTTTGGTAAGGCATGGTAAGGCAGCCAGTTCAGACAAAAATGCGGCTGAAAAATATGTGAAGGACTTAAAGGAATACATAGAGATTGAAAACTTAAACCTGAACAAGTGTTTAATTGTGACGAGACAGGCTTGTTTTGGAAGAAAATGCCAAACATGACCTACATTACTCAGGAGGAAAAGGCACTCCCAGGCTGACATTAATGTTGTATAATAATGCTAGTGGTGATTGCAAAGTGAAGCCTTTATTGGTGTATCACTCTGAAACTCCCAGAGTGTTCACGAAAAACAACATCGTCAAGGGCAATTTGTGTGTGCTGTGGCGATCAAACAGTAAGCCATGGGTCACTAGGGTATTTTTCTTGGATTGATTTTATGATGTGTTTGGCCCCACTGTGACAAAATACCTCCAGAAAAAGAAATTGCCACTCAAGTGCCTTCTGGTAATGGACAATGCTCCTGCTCATCCTCACGACTTGCAAGAGGAAATTGCAGGAGAGTTTGGTTTCGTTAAGCTGATGTTTTTGCCTCCTAATACAATTCCTTTCCTCCAGCCCATGGACCAGGAGGTCATTTCAAACTTCAAAAAACTCTACACAAAAGCAGTATTTCAAAAGTTCTTTGAAGTGACCTCAGACACTCAATTGACCCTAAGAGAGTTTTGGAAAGATCACTTCAATATTCTCAGTTGTGTAAACCTTATAGGTAAGGCTTGGGAGGGAGTGACTAAGAGGACCTTGAACTCTGCTTGGAGGAAACTGTGGCCAGAATGTGTAGAACAGAGGGATGTTGAAAGGTTTGGGGTTAACCCTCAGGAGGCTATGCCAGTAGTGGAAGCTATTGTGTCATTGGGAAAGTCCTCGGGGTTGGAGCTTTGTGACGAGGATGTGGAAGAGCTGGTGCAGAACGACGAGGAAGAACTAACCACTGCAGACCTGCAAGAGCTTCAGGAGCAACAGCAACAGATCACATCTTAGGAATGTTCTTCAGAGCAGGATGAAGAGAGACAGAGGAAGATGACTTCATCAAGGATTAGGGAAATGTGTTCAATGTTTACAAAGGTGCAAGTATTTATCGAAGAATTTTATCCTGTCACCGAAGTTGCCAGCTGCACTGGCAACATGTACAATGACACTCTTGTGTCCCATTTTAGGGAAATCCTAAGGGCATGTGAGAAAAAGAGCTCTCTGGACAGCTATCTTGTGCGACAGGGGTCCAGCGACTCTCAAGCTGGTCCTAGTGGCATTAAAAAAAATCAAGGAGAGAGGTAACCCCACCAAAGGATTTAGCACCTGAAGTCCTTCTGGGAGGGGATTCTCCTTCCAAGCAGTAGACAATTCTGAATTTCCCCTGCTGCTGGCACATCACTCATCAACAACTCCACAATAAATGTAAAGCGGCATTTAATTATTGTTTATTTTGCATGTCCCATTCCTTTCCATATAAGGAAATGTATATTTCATGTATTTTTTTTTCAGACTTAGGGGTGTCAGGAACGGATTAATTCTATTTCCATTATTTCTTATGGAGAAAATTAAATCGACCAACGGCAATTTCGACCAACGGCAAGCCCTCTGGAACGGATTAATGCCGTTGGTTGAGGGTCCACTGTATATGTAAACAGGAGAGGCTGGAATAGTGGTCTGGTGTGCACTGCAGTAGTAGAAGTGGCCATGTGATATTATCTGATTGCTGTGTTTTATAATATTGTATTGGATGCAACAATTATAGAGGATTTTAAACATTTTCGTTCTGGAAATCTTCTTTCGTTATAATTTTGGCTTCATTCAAGTACATAATGTATCCACTAGTTTTCTTTCCTCAGCGCATATTTATGTTCATTGACTCAGGTGTGCAAACATCTAGAAATCTTCCCAGTTTATATAGAATCAGGTAAACTCATGTAACGGGGTATATTCATTTGCTCACGAGCACCTATCAGTGTATATCCTGGACACTAGCTAATGTAAACTTTTTGTGAGGCCAGATAATTTTTATGAGGAATGTATGTCAGCGAACAGCACATAGGTATTATATACAAACATACAGCTGGAGGTACAACCTATCCTAATCTTGAACACATTGTCATATATGATTCCTTAAAATATCATTACATTAATGGAATACATTACCGACAGGTTAATGTATAAGACCTTTGTGTAACACGTTAGTATTTATCTTATGGAGGCATTTTTACCACCCAGCAGCTTTCTCAGTCCAATTCAGAGATTATATATTGGAAACACTGGAAAAAGTGTTGTTAAGGATGTAATATTTTATATAGAAGCCAGAGTTTGATGGAGGGGTAGATGCTGTTGTGAGTGCGAGAAGGAAGACCATCAAGCAGACTTTCAGTGGTAGATCGTACAAAATTGAAACAAGTGTTTTTATGGTTTAATATGTTGTTGTTGAGTAAGCTAGGTATCATTTACGTAGGAATTCAGTGATATCAATTAGCTAGACTTAAGTCTTTGAGGAGAGATCTGCATTGCCTACATTTTAAAGTAAGGCTACAAATATTGCATTTCGTCAGGACATTTGAATGATGAGGTCTGTGTACTAATTGGCAGACAAATATTTTATTAATTTGTGACTATGTTTCCTTCTTTTTGGTCTATCTCCATGAGAAACAACTGGTGTTTTAAAGAATAATTGTGAAACAAATAATAATAATAATAATAATAATAATAATAATAATAATAATAATAATAATAATAATAATACAAACTAATACTAATAAATAAGTAATAATAATATTAGTTTTAATTATTACTATTAACATCATTATTATTAAAAATAATGAAAATAACCAAAAGTAGATTACTCCTAAGATACTAAATAACCAAAAGTAGATTACTCCTAAGATACTAAATAACCAAAAGTAGATTACTCCTAAGATACTAAATAACCAAAAGTAGATTACTCCTAAGATACTAAATAACCAAAAGTAGATTACTCCTAAGATACTAAATAACCAAAAGTAGATTACTCCTAAGATACTAAATAACCAAAAGTAGATTACTCCTAAGATACTAAATAACCAAAAGTAGATTACTCCTAAGATACTAAATAACCAAAAGTACATTACTCCTAAGATACTAAGAGAACTACGTACTTATGTCGGTCAAGGACTGAGACTCTCCAGTCGTCAGATGTAATATCAGTCTCACAGGTTCCCAGGAAAGTAGAATACTATAATCAACCTCCCAGTCCCAAATGGGACTTTCTATAACATACACAATAAATACCTACTATTCCTAATATTCTCTATGGCCACTAAGAATATAACATTTGCATTTGATTCTTGTGATTTTTTTCCTACTGACGTTCTTGCTATCATTTTTTTTATTTGTTTTGTTATGAAATTTCTTGATTATATTTTCATGACAGGTCGACCAGCACCGCGGGTGACGTGGTGGTCGGGGCACACTGAGGTGCCAGGAGAAGTATTGGAGGCACCCAGGGAGGTGATCAACACATTGAGAGTGCCCTCACTCCAACGACACCACCTTCATCACTCATTCATATGCCAGGCCAACAATGCTGAGTCGGCCGTCCCCGTCACCGCTGCTGTCACCATTGACATGACCTGTGAGTTTTGTGTGAGTGTGTTTGTGTATTGATATGTATGTGTACTCACCTATTTTTACACACCTAATTGAGGTTGCAAGGGTCGAGCCTTAGCTCTTGGCCACGCGTCTTCGTTGATTACTACTAGGTTCACTTACTCCCAGCACCAAGAACCTCTTCTTTATGCTATGTATAGATCCTTCCTCTTCAGATTGTTCCACTTCCTGATAACTAAGAGTCTGAAGAAATACTTCCTAACATCAATCTGACTCATCAGAGTTTTTATCTTTCAGTTGTGTCCCCTTGTTCCTTTGTCCCATTTCTGAAACATTTTGGCCCTGTCCACCTTGTCAATTCCTCTCAGTATTTTCTACGTCGTTATTATGTCGCCCCCTCTCCATCTCGTCCTCCATTGTCATGAAGTTGAGTTCTCTTAACCACTACTTGTAAGACACACCCTTTAGCTCCTGGACTAGTTTTGTTGCAAAACTTTGCACTTTCTGTAATTTCTTGACGTGGAAATAAATGGTATAAAATACCGACACAATGGAAATATAAACACATATGCAGTATAATGTGATCCTTTATTGACAACGTTTCGCCCACACAGTGGGCTTTTTCAGGTCACAAACAGATCTGTTTGTGACTTGAAAAATCCTACTGTGTGGGCGAAACGTTGTCAATAAAGGATCACATTATACTGCATATGTGTTTATATTTCCAATTTCTTGACGTGGTTGACGAGGTGCGGGTTCCATACTGTTGCTGAATACTCCAGTATAGGCCTAAGTACACGGTGTACAGTGTCGTGAATGAATCCTTAGTTAAATGTCGAAACGCTGTTCCTAGGTTTGCCAGGCATACATAAGTTAAATCATTTATTTGGTTGAAATGCGCCTCAGATGTGCTTGGCATAATACTCACCCCAAAATCCTTTTCCTTGAGTGAGTTTTGCAGTCTTTGACCTCTTAAGCTGTACTTATTCTGAGGTCTTCTTTTTACCTCCCAAAGCTTTGTGGCTTTGCACTTGCTGGGGTTAATCTCCAGGAACCATTTGTCGAACCACGCTTCCAACCTGTCCAGATCCCCTTTTAGTCTTACCTGATCCTCAACTGTTTGTATTCTCCGCATTACTTTCACATCGTCTGCAAACAGAGAAACATCTGAATGTATCCCTTGCGTCATGTCATTCACATATATAAGAAACAGCATCGGACCTAAGACTGACCCTTAGTGGAGCCCCGCTTTACACATCCGCTCACTCTGACAACTAGTCACTTAAAAACACACGTTGTTTTTCTCCTGTAAGATATTCCTTGATCCACTGTAGTACTTTTCCTGCTTCCAGATATGTCCCCTTATTACTGTGTTCCATCTCTGAAGCATCCTGTCCCTATCTACCCTGTCAATTCCTCTCAGTATTTTATATGTCATTATCAATCACATAATCCCTCCTGTCCTTCAGTGTCATCAGGTTGATTTCCCTTTTCCTTTAACCGTGACTATCCTTGTAGCAAACCTTTGCACTTTCTTTAATTTCTTGACGTACACGTCGAAAGGCTATTCTTAGGTTTGCCAGGCGCCCTTATGATGCAGCAGTTATTTGATTGATGTGCGCTTCAGGAGATGTGCTCGGTAATATACTCACCCCAATATCCTTTTCTTCGAGTAAGGTTTGCAGTCTATGGCCCTCTAGCTTGTACTCTGTCTGCGGTCTTCTTTGACCTTCTCCAATCTTTATGACTTTGAACTTAGTGGAGCTAAACTCAAGGAGCCAGATGCTGGACAAGGCTTGCAGCCTGTCGAGATCCCTTTGTAGTACTACTTCATCCTCATCTGATTTAATTCTTCGCATTAGCTTCACATTGTCTTCAAAGAGGGACACCTCTGAATATATATCCCTACCATCATGTCATTTACATATAACTGAAATGGCACCAGCCCTTGGACTGACCCATGTCGAATCCCGCTTGTCACAGGTGCCCATTCTGACACCCCACTATGACTCGTTGTTTCCTTCCTGTCAAGTGTTCTCTGATCCATTGCAGTGCCTTACCTGTTATTCCTGCCTGCTCCTCGAGCTTTAGCGCTAATCTCTTGTGTGGAACTGTGTCGAAAGCCTTCTTACAGTCGAAGAAAATGCAATCTACCCACCTCTCTCTCTTGTCCGGTAAGTTTGTGACAAGATTTCCTTTCCTGAAGGCGTGCTGGTTATTGTTTATATGCTCATTCCTTTCTAGGTGCTCCACCACTCTCCTGATAATCTTTTAAATGACTTTGCATACATGTGAGTGGCACTGGTTTGTAGTTTAATCCTACTTGTCTGACTCTTCTCTTAAATATTGGAGCTACATTTGTTGTCTTTCACAGCTCAAGTAGTTGCCCTGTTTCGATCGATGTTTTGAAGATTGTTGTTAAGTGGCAAACACATCGCCTCTGCTCCTTCTCTCAGGACCCACGAAGAGATGTCCGGTCCCACCGCTTTTGAAGTATCTAGTTCACTTAGATGCCTCTTCACTTCGTCCTCACTTCTGTTATGTGTAGTGTGTCCAGCACTTGGTGTACCCTACCATTCCGTCTTTCTAAAGCCCTTTCTGTCTCACTGAAAATAATTCCTTAAATCTCGTGTTGAGCTCCTCACATACTTCTTTATCGTTTATTCGTGACCTCCCCTTTATTCTTCCTCAGCCTGATTACCTGGTCCTTGACTGTTATATTCCTCCTGATGTGGCTGTACAACAGCTTCGGGCCCGATTTGGCTTTCGATGCTATGTCATTTTCGTATTGCAAATGGGCTTTATTCCTTATCAGTTCATATTCGTGTCTTGCCCTTCGATTACTCTCCCTGTTTTCCTGAGTTCGAAGTCTTCTTTTTCCATTCTCTGGTGCACTTAGTTTTAGCATCTCTTCACCTCTGGGTGATCCAAGCACTCGTTCTGGTCTGTTGCCCTGAGGTACGAACCTCTCCACCTATTTGCATCATCATTCACTCCATCACTGTCTTGCCAGAGGAGTGCTTACACTACATTTATAAAACTGCAACATTAACACCCCTCCTTCATAGTACAGGCCCTGTGCTTCCCATCTCCAGGACTCGAGTCCGGCACGCCGGTTTCCCTGAATTCCTTCACAAATGTTACCTTGCTCACACTTCAGTAGCACGTCAAGTCCTAAATACCATTTGTCCCCATTTCCTCCTAACATGCTCACGTATGCTTGCTGGAAGTTCAAGCCCCTTGCCCACAAAACCTCCTTTACCCCCTCCTTCTAACCTTTCCTAGGCCGACCCCTACATCACTTTCCCTCTACTACAGATCTATACACTCTTCAAATCATTCTATTTTGTTCCATCCTCTCTACACGTCCGAATTACCTCAACAGCCCCTCCTCAGCCATCTGGATAATAGTTTTGGTAATCCCGCACTTCCTCCTAATTTCCAAACTACGAATTCTCTGCATTATATTCACACCACACATTGCCTTCAGACATGACATCACCACCTCAGCCTTCTCCTTCTTGCAACATTATTTATCTCCATAGACTCCTCAGTGCACCACTCACCTTCTTCCCCTCATCTATTCTATGATTCACCTTATCTTTCATAGACCCATCCGCTGACACGTCCTCTCCCAAATATCTAAATACATTCACCTCCTTCATACTCTCACCCACCAATCTGATATCCAGTCTTTCATTACCTAATTGTTTTTGTTATCTTCATCAAATTACTCTTTCCTGTATTTACTTTTAATTTCCTTCTTTTACATACCCTACCAAACTCATCCACCAACCCCTGCAGCTTCTCTTCAGAATTTCCCAAAAGAACAGTGTTATCAGCAAAGAGCCACTCTGATAACTCCCACTTTGTGTTAGATTCTTTATCTTTTAACCCCACACCTCTTTCCAACACCCGAGCATTCACTTCTCTTTCAACCCCATCTATAAATAAATTGAACATCCATGGTTACATCACACATCCCTGTCTAAAGCCTACTTTTTCTGAAAAATATTCTCCCTCTCCTCACTCCTACAAGATGTTATTCCTCCTTGCCCTATACACGGTATCATAGCATCCCTATCTTCCTCAACATTCAACAATTCCTCAAAATATTCCTTCCATCTTCCTGATACCTCTAACTCTCCATTTACTAACTCTCCTCTCTTACATTTAGCTATCAAATCCATTCGTTTCCTAGGCTTTCTCAACTTATTAATCTCACTCCAAAACTTTTTGTTATTTTCAAAAAATTCGTTGATAACATCTAACCCACTCTCTCATTTGCTCTCTTTTTTCATTCCTTCACCACTCTCTTAACCTCTCCTTTTCTCTCCATTTTATCCTCCCTCATTGCATCACTTTTACTTTGTGAAAACTCTCACTTGCTAACTTTTTCTCCCTTCTCATTACATCACCATTCCACCAGTCGCTCTTCTTCCCTCCCGCACCCACTTTCCTGTAACCACAAACTTCTGCTGAACACTCTAACACTACATTTTTAATCCTACCCCATACATCTTCATCTCCATTTCCTATACTCTCACTACTCCATCTATCTTCCAATAGTTGTTTATATCTTACCCTAAGTGCCTCCTACTTTTGTTTACAAACCTTCACCTCTCATTATTGCTACCTCTTTTTTAGCTCCAACTCTCTCAGATACTTCTGCCTTAAATCCCATTTATTTCTCCCCACCGAAACTCCCCTACCTTCTTCAGCTTTGCTTCACTTAGAGCCAGGACATCAAACTTCTTCTTTTCATTCATAACATTAGCAATCACCTCTTTCATTTCATCTTATCATCTGTAGTACATCCACGCACATTCAAACATCCCAGTTTCACAAAGTTTTCCTTCTTATTTTTTTTAGTTTATTCAAGAGAAGGGGTTACTTGCCCAGTGCTCCCTACATTTCAGTCGCCTCCTACGACACGCATTGCTTAAGGAGGAAAGATTCTTTACCACTTTCCCAAGGAGAATAGAGGAAACAAAGAACAAGAACTATTAAGAAAAAGGAAGAAAG